GACCAACATTGTGTTGGGTATCGAATGTTTTTTGTTTTGTTTTGTTTTTTTGGGGGGGTACTTGGCATCAAACTCAGGACTTTGTGTTTGCAAGGCAGTCACAGGACTGCTGAGCTAAATCCCAAGCGAAGAAAAATCACTGAATTTGATAAAGTTGTTTTTATATTTTAAAATATATATTATCTTATAAAAATTAACAAGATTGGACTGGTAAGGGTTACATAACTCACCTATTATGGAACTTCCCCAAACCTCTTTAATCCCTCCCCCCTCTACATACACATACCCTGTATATTTCTACCAGGGTTAGCCTTTCTATAGGTGATCCTATCAGTTTAGACTTTCCTAAAAGACTTTTCCTGCACTTCTAACCAGGCTGAACAGTTTTGATCCCTTAAGACACACCATATTTTCCTGCGCTGTTTCTCTCTATAATGTTACCTAGATGAAGACCTGCCAGACAGATGTGATTTTTCCTTCCATTGTACTCCATTGTTTTGTACTACTTATACTACTTAACCCATTCAGCCTTCTATTATAGATAATTTATGCTTCCCCATACTTTATGAATATGCAAGTCACAGAACACACTTCAGGGAAGATTTTTGGTTCATTTCCTTCACAATGTCTTTAAATGTAGTATATACAAATACATCTTTTTTGTTTTTATGTGAATAGTTTTTTTCCCCCACTTACTGAAATTTTTATGTTTATATATGTACCTTCCTTCCTTATTTATTTATTTATTTGGCACTGTGAATCAAACTCAAGGCCTTGTGTTTGCCAGGCAGGCATTGATTGGAACCCCTCAGCTACATCCTCAGCCCCGTACCTCATTATTTTTAACGGCTTCCTTATCTGTAAAGTGGATATTACCTACTTTATTTAACCAGTGATGAACTCTAGAAAGCTTTTAAGTTTAGTACCGATTATGCTGCACTGTGCCTTTGCACACTTGTGCAGATGTACCAGAAAGATACCTTCATTGAAATGAAGTTACTGAGTCAGAGGTCCGTATTTTATTGTTAGTTTTATTTTTGCCAATCTGTTAAACAAAAATGGTATCACTGTAGCCTGTAGCTAAGTGATGCTGCGGCCTGCCTTGCAAGCGCAAGGTCCAGAGTTCATTCCCTGGTACCAAAAACAAATAAAAATAGTATCGCTATAATTTACATGCCTTCTTTACTAGAGAGAAAAATATCTTTCCATATGTTGGCTATTTGTAGTTTTTCTCTGAGAATTATCCGGTGATATGTTTTTGCCAAATTTCTACTAGATTGTCTTTTTTATATTAAAAAAATCAATTTTTTATAGGTTCTGGATATGAATCCTTTTCTCTAACATTATGAACTGCCTATTCCCAGTTTGTCATTTGTCGCTTAACTTTCTTATGGTGTCATGTCTCTTAATTTTTAGGTAGTCAGATCTTTAATTTTTTAATTTCTGTCTTCTCTATTCCATCTTAAGTAGAAAAGACTTCTCAATCCTATAATTATAAAAATGTTTTCTTCTGATAGTTTTTTTTTTGAGAGAGAGACTTGCCCTGTTACTTTTGTAGTTTCTCTTAGAAATTTAGACAGCTTATGGAATCAGGACCTTGTACTTGCAAGGCAGACGCGTTGCCACTGAGCTAAATCCCTCTCATTAACCAGTTTTTAAAAGCATTTGTTGAGAATTTTTTGTTTGGATTGCAGTTTACTTATAGATTATTTGAGGAGAGTGGGTGTCTGTCTTTGCAGTACTGAGTTTATCATTTTTGACCCTTCACTGTGTCTCCTTACTCAGTTTAGTTTTTTGTCCTATTGTATAGTTGTACAGCTTTTTCTTCTATATCCTGTATCTTTTTGTTGTATTTCTTCTCAGTTTTTATTGCCATCATGAGTAGGATCCACTTTTCTATTACCTTTCCTAATAATGTTAGCTACCTGATAATAAAACTATTAATATTTATGACTATTTTATTAATCTTAGTTTTTAATTTTCTTGGTATAGAGTTATACCACTTGCAAAAACAATGATGTTTTTCCTTTTTTCTGTCATTTAGCCCTCATTTTTTTTTTATTATTATTATTTTTTTTGTTTTTTGGTACCGGGAATTGAACTCGGGTCCTTGCGCTTGCAAGGCAGGCCACCCAACCGCTAAGCTAAATCCCTGGCCCGCCCTCATTTTTTTTTTTTAATTGTCTTACTCAACTATTGAGAATCTCTAGGGAATTCTTTTAGAATAGTCATAGTAGGGAGGCATCTCTCTCTCTAATTTGTAGATGGAGATAGGAGTGTGTGTATATGTGTTTTGTTTTGTTTTTAATTTTGAAAAAGTGTCTAACAAAGTTTCCTAGGCTGAATTCAAACTTGTGATCCTCCTGCCTCAGCCTCCTATAGTGCTGGGATCACAGGCATGTACTACAACGTGTGGTCCTACATACTTAAGTTAAATGCGTTGCTTGCTGTAGATGCCTGAGAGATGAATTTTGTCAGATAAGTTTCTTCTGTTTTTTATTTACTAGGGATTGTTATCAAAACTCTATTACATTATAGGCTTCTTTGATAGCTACTGAGATAATCCTTTTTTTTCCTTTTAATCTGTTAATGCAGTAAATTGTTTTGAATTATTTTCCTATTGTATTATCTTTGCTTTCTTGTGACAAAAACCAGTGAGTCATATGCTCTTTTCATTACCCTTACTACTAAATTTGGTTTTATTTAGAATGTTTGTTTCTGTTTATATAAGCAAACCAGCTTAAACTTTTTTCTCTTTTTACTTACAGTTCTTCTTACTATGTAATAGTTCATATTTTTGGGAGCTAGGGTAGTAGCTTTGAAGGTGAAATATTCAGCATCTTTGTAATTTTAACCATCGTAAGCAAGGGCTGTTAATATCCTAGCCACTTTTCTCTGCTCATGAGCAAATTACCAATTTCATATGTTACCTTTTTAAATGGTAAATGGAGATAAAATCTAACTTGCAGTATTGTTGTAGGGATTAAATAGGATATTCTCTGTTTAGCATTACTGTCTCATGTAAGGTAAACATTCATCCATATTATCCACTGTTCTCGCTGGTGTTCCTTTAGGTAGATGACTAGTCACCTCAGTCATCCCCAGCTCTTGCACAGTGTGGTTGTAAACTACACTAGAGAAAGAGGGCATAAAGATGGGCCAGTGGTCCAGCTGGCAGCGGCAGCCCCAGCTCCATGTGATACACTTCCAGCAGGTCTGGATCTCCTGTGATCTAGAGCTCTTTCCTGCCACCTGTGCTGTACAGGCAGCTAGGGCAGGGACTTAAGTGCACCTTGACGTGATCGCCTGTCTGGGGTTTGTTCTCTACTTTAGGAATGCTTCTTTATCATAGCTACTGAAGATTTTTAACCTGAATGGGAAATAACTGTTTGAAGTTTTAAAGAATTTTTAAAGACTTCTTTGTTGAGATACTGGGGTTCTTTGTTACTATAGCAAAACCTAACCTATACTAACTGAAACAGTCTAACTCATCCCTATTTTTAATCAATATTCTTCAGTATGAGGGGTGGGCAATACCTGAAGAACTGCAAGTGTGGGCTTTTTTTTTTTTTTTAATTTGTATATCTGGATGGGGTGCATTATAGGGATTCAGCACAGGTATACAATGTATATTAAATCAGATGAAATCAGGATCATAATGTAGAAAAGCTCTGGAAAGGAAATCTGTACATGACTTTTGAGAACATTTTGTGAGTTTTCTTTTGTTTTTTGAGGAACTGTTTAGATGTTTAGTGTTTTTTTTGAAAGGAGCATAAAATGTTAGGCTGAGATAAATGTGTAATGTGGAAAATGGAGACTTGTTGGACTGTCATCAAGAAGCAGAATATGGTTTTTTTCCAGGCTTTACTACTTCAGTAATCCTTCATCTGATACCAGATATATTTATGTTGAGTCATTTCTTTCTCTTTTGCTGGTGAAGCAGAAGATCACAAAATGATTCTGCAGAGGCAGTAGCATTACGTTCAGTTTCTTTTTTTGTATGTGTCAGATAAGAGGCCTGCAAATGGAAGTTGTCCATGTTGCCTTTTCAGCGCAGGATTGACATTAGTTCATCAAGCTGCTTATAAAGAACGAAGTTCTCTTTGTTGAAAGGTGACTGTACCAGGAACAATGTTAAGATTTTGACAGACTACTTTTGTTTTTACAGATATTTTTTGTTTTTAATGTTTAGAAACTACTACTTTTAAGAGATTTTGGGGACAAGGGCCTGCAAGGACCAAGTGGAAATTAGTATATATATTTACAGTCAGGATTTCTGAATCTTCACTTTAAAGAGAACAAGATAAAATTTTGAGGTTTAGTTTATTTTAAGCTAGAAGCTACTTTCTAGTTGGTAAAAATGTTGCAGATCTGAAGAATAAAAGTAGTGTAAGGGGCTGGCTTTTGGCAAACTTGAATAGCAGTAGGAGGACCTGGGAGCCCAGGGTGGTTCCCCATCCTCCACCCCTACCCCCCGGGGGGGTTGTCAGGACAGAAGGCCCCTGGCTGGCTGTCCACTCTCCCTGTAGCTCACTGCCGAGTATGTGCAACAGGTCTCTGTGGCCGGGGGCTAGGGCAGTGGCCTCTCCATCAGTCACCAGGGCCTGGAAAGGAAGCCTGCTACACAAATGGGCTGTGGGAGTTTTGAGGTTTTTAACTATTTACTTCAACAGGTATTTTATAGAGGAAAATGGAATAAGGACCCTGGAGCACTGGAAGTGTGCCTACAATTTTCAGTTCTAGTGAAGCAGCAGTTTGATCTCGTTTATTTTTTCTAGGTATTTCTGGATTCTGCTTGTATAATTTAAATTGTTAAGGAAGTTATTTTATAATATAGTTAATTGCTGTTATGTATTTTAACAATGACATAATTATTAGAATA